AGAGATTGTTCATGAGTGTCCTGCCAGTTCCAAACACAATCCAGTCTTGTTAACTCTCTCAGTAGAGCAGTAATCTTTGATAAATTTGGTATAAATTTACTCAAATACTTTGCCATACCAAGGACCCCTAATAAATCATTTCTGTTTTTTGGCTCTGGCAAATTAACATAACTTCTATTTGTCTCTACTCCCGCCTTTGAGTAAAGAAGGAGGCACAATTAACATTGAAAATAGGCCCCCGTAAATTTCAACCAAATTTCAATATTTTGAAGGTATCATCATTGCAAAAAAAAAAAATTGAAATGTAAAGAGGATCGTATGTCTGTGATAGAAGATATAGCTCATTAAAGTACGTAGGTCCTGCAATGCTATGCATAGAAAATATCCCTACGTAGATTTTCTGGAATATCTCGAAAAATACTAATCCGATTTTGACCTTTTTGGAGTTTGATGCCTACAAGTGGACCCCAAAAACGTCAAAATCGGATTAGTATATTTCAAGATATTCAAGAAAATCTACGTAGGGATATTTCTTCGGATATTTCCTATGCATAACATAGCAGGACCTAAAGTGCGACAAGTGAATGAACCTTGGTAACGTATGAAGTAGCAGAGGGGAAGACGAAAACCTATACTATACGACGCGACGGGTCCCCGACGTGGTGCATTGCAAAAATTGCGTTTACCGTGACGCGACGACCCGCGTACATGTATATTTAATCTCTGGCCAATCAGGAGGGTTATGCCTGCATTCCTTCCACACAGGTTCACTCACTTGTCGGACTTTACTTACTTTGATGAGCTATATCTGCTATTACAGACATACGATCCTCTTTACACTTCAATTTTTTTTTGCAATGATGATACCTTTAAAATATTGAAATTTGGTTGAAACTTACGGGGGTCTATTTTCAATGTTAATTGTGCCTCCTTCTTTGTCCCATAAATTTTACACTTTTCAATTTAAACTGGATTTTCGAAGAAATAAATTTAATATTAAACTTGAGAGCCCGTTCAAGTACTAAATGTAACTTATGATCATGTTCGAACTGATTTCCACCTGTAACTATAAGGTCATCATAATAGAGCCCTACGCTGTCCAAGTACCCAAATATTTCATAAATTTTCCTTTGAAAGAATTCCGGGGCAGAACAAATGTCAAAAGGTAAACGCAGAAATTCAAATTGCCCAAATGCTGTGTTAAAAGCTGTGTACTTTGAACTTTGATTGTCAATTTTGATCTGGAAATAACCGTCTTTCATATCAAGCACCGAAAAATATTCTTTATTACATAATTTGATTTCAAATACTTGGGGTCTAGGCACAACCTCAAGTCTCCATTACTTTTTTTCCACTATGACTAAAGGATTCAGCCACTCAGTTGGTTCGTCAAGTTTTTTAATTACACCTTGAACTTCAAGTTGCTCTAGTTTCAATTTCAATCTATCATGCAATGCTCTAGGAACTCTCCTGGGAGGCTGAATATGTGGAACGGCATCATTTTTCAAAGAAATATGATGCTCAGTTGGAAACTGGCCTAAACCATCAAAAACACTAGCATACATTTTCTTAACATCTTCGAGAGACTTGAAATTGACATTGAGTCCTGGACTAATACTAGCTAATCTTTTAATTAGTTTTAGCTTTAAACAAGCAGATAACCCAAGCAAAGGTAGTTGGTCAGTGGAGTCAATAACCAAAAACTCAAGAGTTTCTTTACAGTTGTTGACTTCGCAAGACAAACTAACTTCACACCGAGGTTTTATCCTGAAACCACTACAACCATATGACACAAGGGTTACTTTGGTTGGTTTTAAAAGAGAACTAACTTTTAACTCTTTGAGAACATGTAGAGGCAAAACGCTTACCTCAGCCCCAGTGTCAAGCTTAAATTCTACCTGATTTTTGTTCTCTATCTGCCCAACTTGTCTCCAGTCATTCTTCATCTCAGTTTGATTGTCTCTACTGTCGCACTCACTGATCACCTTATCAATTTTTCGAGACTTCATAGAACTGACTCGACACAGCGAGTTCACTAGAGCTGTTACTACTTCCTCCCTCGGTTGTGTGCTCTTTCTCGTGTACAGGCTTCCTCCATGACTGTCTCTCGCTAGATTTTTTGTGTGGCTTACTAGAACTTTCACCAGGACACATTACTGCAAAATGGTTTTTTCCTTGGCAAGCTGCACATGTTTTCCCATATGCCGGGCATTTACCATTTAGTATGTGTTTATAGCCGCAAAATTTGCACAAACTTTGGCCATGACTTGAGCTACCACTTGAGCGGTACTACTTTTCTCACTGTTTTGGAAGCTATACTTCCTAGTTTTGATTGCATTGATCTGTGATTCAATCTGCAAAATACCCATGACCACACGGTCTCTAATAATTTCATCTAGCTGAGAGTATCCTGTAGTTTCACTGCTTTTCTCAATTCTGTTAAGAAACTATCAAAAGTTTGACCATCTTTTCAGGGATGTTATCAGCACTAAAAAAATTGTACCAGAAAGTAGGGAATAATTGTACTAGATTGACGACTTTGTGTACTAGCTGAAAGTGCGTCAAAATTTGAAATTTGAATACAAATGTAGGCTCTGCTAATTAGGGGTAAATATCACTTGTTTTCGGGTCGGTTTTTCAATAGCGAGTCACTTCCGGGTCGATTTTAACTCCATGGTAGACATGTCCAGTTGCAATGTTTAACCTGTAGTTATGCTTAACCCGGAGGTGACTCGCTATTGAGATACCGCCCCTAAATGATAGGAATAAATAAATTTTCACAATAGTTATAAATCGACTACCGATTACCGTGATCGGCTGAATAACCGAATAACCCCTGATACTTGACACATGATACACGTCAAGTCACAGAATAAAAAATTGCGTGTGCGTTCGAAACCAGAGTGGGACCTGCAACGTGGAACCCAACCCACAAGTAGAGAGTAGAGTTCAGAACTCGGGTTCGGTACAGAGCGAACAGCGACACTCGACTCGTAATCCAAATTGTACTAGATTTATGAGAGAGGTACTAGCGTGCTAGGTGAAACGTGATTGTGCTAGATCTAGTACAATTGTACTAGAAATAGCATCCCTGCATCTTTTTGGCCAATACTGTTAAATTTGAACCGCTCAAAAATCACATTATCTTGGGGCGAGCAATATTCCTGAAATTTTTTCTCTATACTGTCTAGCGATTTTAGTTTCTGCTCAGTAAATGTAAAACTATTAAACAACTCGAGCCCATCATCTCCTACAAGATTTAGGAAAACGGCCACTTTAGTTTTCTTCGGTTTTTTTATCCGGTCCAGACGCCGGTCCAGATGCCGGTCCAGACGCCGTCAAGAAAACATCAAATTTTTGAACAAACCTTTTCCAATTATCAGCTATATTGCCATCAGTAACAAGGGGCTCCGGGGCCGAAATAAACTCTCCATGTTTCTAGGCTAGATAACTTTTTACAAACAACGTAACAACAGTTCACTAGCGAACTTTTCACTGACTTGTAACAACAAACTAGCACCAAAAGCACTTAATAACCTGACACCATGTTTTAAATCATCAAGGGATATAAATATAAATAAAATAACTAGTTATGTGTTATAAGTCGTACTGTTTTATTAAGACTCATGCAACATGCAAGGGACAGCTAGACAACAGAATTTGTCAACTGACAACTACACTACCTGTATTACTACCATCACATACGCGATCGTGTTCTTACAGAAGGTACCTATATTAGAACTTTTTATAAAATAAAAAATAAAAATTTCAATAAAATCCATAGTTTAAAAATTGACCTATTAAGTGATTTACTATTGGATAAAGAATCTTAGCAATATAGACATAGGAAAAAAATCTATCATTAGGCATTTGAATTTACATTGAAGCCAACAGAAAATGATATTTCTCTACCAAAAGGAGACATAATTATCTTGAATTTTTCTCAAATCTGCCAAAATATCAGGTACCTACTACAATTGGAAGCTTTTTCCTCAGATCATAAAAAATTGGCTGTAGGTATTCTGCATCATGTGTTCTGTAATTCGGATTTTAATGTCATCATTATCACTCTTAAGAACCTAGGCAAAGAAAGCATCAGAGCCATTGTCAATGATTCTTATTGGTCGGGGAAGAAGTGTACGTCACCCACTGGCGCCATTTTAGTACGTTCAAATATGAATTATTAATGTAATATGAAGTTGTAATAAAGCCAATTAAGAGCAAGAGTTTCATTTCGGTTGATAGCTACAACCGATTGAAAATAATTGAACGATGAATTTCAAATTAGGATGAAACTCTCCATCAACTCGTCCAAACTACAGGTGCATATCGCACCTGTCTTGTAGAATAATAAATCAAATAAAACTTCCTTTACGTCATCGTCGTCATGTTTATGAGCGAATAAGTTCGAGAAATGAGAAGGAAAATCGTCATAAAAGCTGGTATTGTTGACTTTTTATTTTGCAACAAGGTCTTGGGTAAATAAATAAGTAGGTTGCGGCTTAGTCAGTAGACTAATGCTAGGATTTTGATAATTTGGAATCAATATTTTTTCATTTTTGACTTATTCTCCTCTCGTAGGTACACTTTTTTATTTATATAATTACCAACAGACGTTGTTTAATTATTATTCTTTTATTTAATTTCCAACTTTTACTGTATTTCTACTTAAATAACTTCACTATAATAATGTCTGAGTAAAATTGACATGTTTTAAGCACTAGGCCCAGTTGTAAAATCGAAGCTTTAAAAGTTCCTTTTAAGTTAAGCTCGACTATAATTTAAAATGCACTGATGTCAAAAATCGTCGAATATGATAGCAATGAGGTTCAAATAGGTGGAAGTTCAAGTACCAGTTTAGTTCAAGTTAAGGAAGTTTTGAGGCAATGATTATACAACCGTGTCTTGTTAGTATTTTTTTTTCAATAAGCAACGACTATTCCTTTTGAACCCACACTAATAACTCACTTTCACTTCTTATAAGTCAACACAAAGGACCAGCATCATCATGGATAAATAAGCTATCAACAAACGATCAGGATTATCCATCTGGTCGATACAGTAAACATCGCAAATATCTTCATTCAAATTACGATTTTTTTTTAGTTTATCGCATTTTGCGTGTTCGTGCGGTTTTGTTTTATTTCTTAGAGAAAAATGGATATGAAAATTGGATTTTTGTTGATTTTTAGCTTGGCGATGGTCAACGGAGTACCGACAATGTATAAGGTGAACGAGAATAAAGTTTTTGAAAAAGGTGGGCTATTTCGAACATATAATTCAATTTTATTTTTACATAATAATTACTAGACTATAATGTTACATACTTCGTGGGTGCGAATTTACATATGTTGAAGTTGAACAAAACATATTTTTAGACATGATTTACGAATGCTAATGACTGAAAAAGGAATTTTTGTCGAACACAAAATTTAAAATTTAGATATTTTGGTGGTCTCATCAAACTCAAATTTTATCTGATCATTCTTCAGGATTGGCAGGGTTAGTACTTAGGGTTTTTATCCAAAAGTATAAGGCAATGATTTTTGGAGGTAGGTACCTACCTACTCATTTTCCAAACAATTTAAACCCCAGAAGAAGCCGTTTGGAGATTTTGTTAGATTTTAATCAACCTTTTGAGATATCTGGCACTGTAGATTTCATATAAACACAGACATTAGCTGTGATTTTTTTTTTCACCCTTATGGTATAGGTTTCTGTTTTAAAATTGGCAATGTCTCTCAGGGTGTCTAGGTTAAGTTTTATGAATGAAGAAGGTAGTTTAATCCAATACCTACTCAATAAGCATCAACTTTGCATCACTTATACACCCCAAGATTGAAATAACATTTGAGAATTGCGTATTTATTCATCTCTGCCGGAACCAACACAATTTTTGTCTGCTGGTAAGACATAGGACCGGATATTTGGTGAACCAACAGCCCATAGATCTGCAACCATTTGATTGAGGTAATTTTTGGAGAAAATGTTTCATAATCGTCAATGGTTTATTAGATACCACCATTTTCATGTTTCTTTTCCTTTCTTATTTTGATTACTGTTTCTGTAATTTAAGCTTATATATTGTTTTGGTAAAAGTTATTTATCAAGATGAATCGTCAAAGCGCTAAGGCTCCCTAGTAAATTCCAGTCATGTATGCACTGATACTGTACAAATATTACCATCATTCAAATGTATCCAATAAAAACTTTGACAGTTAGCATATTTCAAAATTATTTTTGATGATCGAACTATCATCGGTTGAATTTAACGTCAACTTTAAGTAAAAATTAACTGTTTGTATCCTTTTAATTCAAAAAAAATAATAAAAATTTCAGATTTGGTGCCCGTATCGTCTACAGTGATCCCTCTACCAATTTACAGACTTAGTTCGGCTGGCTACAACGTAAAACCAAGCAAAGAAGAAGAGATAAACCAGAGGCCTAAAGGACCAGTATCACTTATTACAGGTAACGTAAATTATATCAAGCTACAGGCATAAATTTACATTGCAATTTTCTTTACAGTAAATAGCAAAAAACATGCTATTATCGACGAGAAGAAACCATTAGTGAAGCAAGTCACATTTAAAAATTGATGAATCATTATATGAAAAAAAAAAGTATGTGAACCAAAGTTACGGAAACTAATTACCTGAACTTAACGTACCTTATATTGTTAAAAAAATTGTATTAATTAAAAAACTAACACCATAACAAATGTTTTATTTCTCCAAAGAAAAACAAAAAATCTCCAGCACGAGAAATTCAGTCCCCAAAAGAAGTGCCAAACTTACTAATGGATATTTATTTTATCCGACTCATTAGTGCTAATCATTACATATTTACCTGACGCTATTAAAAGCCTCACTCTGCCTTGAGCTTTGGGACAAGGACCCTACTCTTAATGAATACTGATGCCTTGAGGGACTCCCTATTCCAGTTAATTGATAGTAGGGAGTTAAATGATTTGTATACTTATTTCCGATGAGTTCCAAGCTCCAGTATTATTGCATCTTCATAATTTTCGATACAGCAGAAACAGTATTGTATAGGTAGCTTCTATTTTTTTTTTACATCTTGGCCAATAAACAATGTATTAAAAATATATAATCTCATATCTCTGAACGCCTGTAGCTGTTCCGGTGAAATTTAGGAAGTAAGTTGAGCCTAACATAAAATCTATTTTGCAATAGTTCCCCTTCAAATTAGACCATCTTCAGATCAATGCTCAATTATAGGAAAATGAGTAATAGGTTCACATATGGGCAACAATTCCAAATTCCATAAAACTCTAGGTTTGATCAAACCTTAGAGCAGGTAAAGGTAAAGAGGAGTAGTAACCTGGATTTGAAAAATGAAGCCGTTTTTTTCCAGGTATTTTGGCACCAAGAAAATGGCGCTTATGGCAATTCAATGCTTTACCTGTATCTTGGTGCCAAACACCTGCCAAAAATTTGGCTTCACTTTAGTTTCATAAGCAGAATGGCGCGTTCCTACTCCTTATGTCCGTAGGACAGCGTTTTCCTGCTCCAAGGATCAAACTTTGAAAAGGAAAAACAAAGGAACAATTCACAGGTACCTATACTAACTAGGGTAGGTAGGTACTGCAAAATTAGATAAATTGACACTATAAACCAATGACATCTTAACACAGATAGACACCACATCTCATTCATAAACTGATGTTTGTTGTGATGGCAAGACCCCCCATGGGCCAGGAGAGGTGAGCTGCTCAAGGGGGTCATGGTAGGGATGCATCAGTGGTGTAAACAAGACCCCCCGTCATTCACTTGACCAAAATAATGAAGAAATGCGTATGGGTGCAGCTTGTTTATCAAAACTGACCCGATCCTCCAGGATGGGGGTTGAGGCATTAGACTGGTTCTCTAATACTCGGAAAAATACAAAACTACCAAAAAACCTAAGCGAAGCCTCGGAACATTGGACGGATCACCAAGACGACGAACACGGCAAAAAAAATGGACTATGAATCTCGCTACGTGGAATGTGCAGGGTATTAGACTGAAAAAGCATATCATTGCATCAGAAATTCAGAAATTGAACATCGATTTAGTAGCACTAACCGAAACTAAGAAAAAAGGAAATGGCACCGAAAATGTTGGAGAATATATTCATCATTTTACTGGAGTGTCAAAGGACATGAGAGCAGCTAGAGGGGTATCCATATTGATAAGGAAAGACTGGAAAAACAAAATTAACAACTGGGAAGCTGTAGACGAAAATATCCTAACGGTCAACTTGAAACTACATGGCTATAACATCACCATTATAACAGCATACGCTCCATCAGAGGACGAAAGAGTCGGCACTAAGCAGGAGTTCTTTGACAAAATGGATGAAGTCCTACTAGATATTGGAAAAAATAGAGAAATCATAATGCTAGGGGATTTCAATGGAAGAACGGTAAGGACGAACAATAGCTCAGTTGTAGGACCATTTGGAGAAGAAATAATCAATGATAATGGCCAAAGGCTCATACATCTCTGTGAGACCCACAATCTTAGAATAAATAATGGATTTTTCAAACACAAAGATATTCGCCGCTACACATGGATACAGAATACCCGTAACCTGAAAACTATTATTGACTATGTGATAAGCAAACAAAAAACAAATATAGAGATAAACGACGTAAGAGTCCTAAGAGGAATAACTTGCGGGTCAGATCATTTTTTAGTAAGAGCCAAAATAAAGTTGCAATTTAGGAAAGCGAACAAGAACCCAGAGGAACAAAACACCAATGCCATACTAACGAACACAGTGGATACAACAAATTATAATTTTGACAGTTTTAGAGATGACAGCACTGTATTTCTATATCAGAGGCGACTCGATAGCAAACTATTGAACCCTGTAGAATGTACCTTCAATAAACTCTATGAGAATATTATAAGGAGTCTAATAGAAGCCACCCAAGAAGCAATAGGAACGAAGGAAAAAAATACCAACAAGAAATACTGGTGGAACGATGAGATAGAGCTGTTAGTCCAACAGAAGAAGCAAAAATATCTGAAATGGCTAACAACAAAAAAGGAACAAGACCTTGAAGTTTATAAAGGCACAAAAAGACAACTAAGAACGTGCATCACTATAGCTAAGAACGAGTCATGGGATAAGAAATGTGAAGAAATTAACACCTACATAGGAGGAAGGAAATGCTCAGAGGTATGGAGATTTATATCAAATGTCAAAAACCCAGGAAAAGACAGAGCTAATATCTAGACCAGAGCAATGGGTAGAACATTACAAGGGTCTGTTATAAGAAAGTAGACCGGAATATATATTAGATTCTCCAAGACATATTGAAGTACATGGAGAAGTAGTTGAGATATCTGAAGAAACAGTAAAAAAGACTGTTAAGAATCTTAAGTCAAGTAAAGCTAGTGGCCCAGAAGGGATATACTCAGAAATGCTGAAATGGGGAACTGAGAAGCTCTGTAAAGGTCTCACATGTATTATCAACAAATGCCTAAATGGACATCCTGTTCCACAAGACTGGAAAACGGCTTTTATATCATCCATTCACAAAAAAGGAAATAAGCTGGATTGCAATAACTATCGGGGCATATCAGTCACAAGCACACTAAGCAGACTATACGGTAGAATCCTGTGATCTCATTGAAGAAGATTATAAAGAGCAAGAAGAAGAGGAGCAGTGCGGCTTTAGAGCAAGAAGATCAGGTACGGACAACGTATTTTGCCTAAAACAAGTCATAGAAAAGAGATCTGCTGGATATTTGGAAACCCATCTCACATTTGTTGACCTACAAAAAGCATACGACACAGTCCCAGTATCCAGACTATGGAAGGTATTAGAACACACAAATATCAATCACACCTACATAACGGCACTTAAAGAACTATATAAATTATTAAGACTCAAAATCAAGAATTAAGATAAAACTCACAGACACATTTATAGTAAATAAAGGACTACGTCAAGGATGTTGTATCTCTCCTACGCTTTTTAAAATATACGTAGCAGTAGCACTGAAAAATTGGAAGAGGAAGACCCATGGAATGGGTATAGAGATAAATGGTAGCTGCCTGTTTACTCTTCAGTTTGCAGATGATCAGGTCATAGTGGCCAGTGACAAAGTGGACATGCAATATATGATTAGAAAGCTGATAGAAGAGTATCAAGAATGGGGCCTGAGAGTTAATATAAATAAAACAAAATATCTATGTGTTGGCAACCAGAACGGAAACTTGGAAGTGGACGATGGTCAGGAAATTTTGCAATGTCAAAAATATGAGTATCTAGGTCTCACATTCGACAACACCGGAACAGACGTGAAAGAAATAAAAAAGCGAATAGTTAAAGCTAAAAAAGTAATAGGATGCCTAAATGGAATATTATGGAGCAAGGAAATTACAAAGAAGAGAAAATTTAATATATACGAGACAATGATAAAAAGCAGCCTTCTATATGGAGCCGAGACTTGGAGAATTACAGACAGACAAAAGAAAAAAGTGGAAGCAGTTAAAATCGATGCTATTAGAAGATCCATGCGAATCTCACGAAGAGATAGAATAAGGAAATATAAAACAACAAATGGGTATAGAAGGTACGATAGTCCAGGACATTGAAAAGAAACAACTTACCTGGCACGGACACGTAGAACGAATGCCAAATGACAGGTGGCCCAGAAAAATGCTGCACTGGCAACAAACAGGTAGAAGAAAACGAGGAAGACGAAAACTGGAATGGCAGAAGACCATACAAAAGTCTATGAGTGAAAGAAATCTCTCATCAGAGGATTGCGACGATAGAAGAGGATGGAAATTAGGTGTGGAACAACGAAGAAAGACGTTCTAAAACAACATGTATATATTATACAATGGAAAAGTTTCTGACAATTATAAAAAGTAATCTGAAAGGTCTGAAGGGAATTTCAGTACTGCTAGTGCGTTGTGCCATTATTTCTGACAAATGATCTTGTCTGAAAGCGTTTTGTGCTGAAAGACAAAAATGTTGAATTGTTGAAATGATAATGATAATGATTTTATACAATAATTCTAGGATTTTGGAATAAGATACATATTTTTAGTTTTAGAAAAAAATTCTACAAATGAGATATCAGAGGCGGAATTCTGTAACGGATAGAGATCGTTATCCCTTTCGTATTGGACTTGCTGTCTTCTTCTCTCTTTTCGAAATCAATAGAGGTAGGTACTTCAATAGAAATAGCGAAAATCATTCGAAAATATCTCTATTCCTTACAGCATTCCACTGCAGATGTTGATGTTAAAGTTCAATATTTAGCTATTTCCTAGACACAAAGATTTTTAGTACACAGATATCTTTCCTTTTACCTTATAACTTGTATTTAATTACTATCGATATTTATCGATAGTCAAGGTCCCGACTATCGATAACTATCGATGGTACTGACTATCGATAGTTCTCCGCCTCTAGTTGCCAGTAGTCGTTTTTGGTCTTGAACCTCCAACTTTTTGAAACAAAGTCGTAACAGGATAAAATATCAATCCGTAACAATTTGATAACCAAATTGGAGGAGATAGACCGGTGGTGGATTGCTTTCCTAGATGTTGGCGACACAAAATTTTGCTATCTGTGTTATATGAATTATTTCTATAAACCAACTCAAATAGAAAATGACAGATGCTATACAGACAACCAGGCTACTAGACACATAGGCTTGAATGATACCAGTTGACTGATACCAATGACATACCCATAATTACACATGTCACTGCATGTCGAGCTGCATGTCATTCGGCAGCACCGCCTCTCTGAGACTGGGTACAAGCTTATTCATCTTATTAATCCCTATATGTCTGGAAGGTTGGTCCGGTTTGTTTCTGTTCATCATAGGCGATCACTCGATACCGAATATGATTATCTTCTATTCTACTCCTATTGTCGTCGATACTCGATTGTATGTTTTCTGGTGGCTATATTAACCAATTCTGGAGCCTCACACACTTCCACAGTCTTCGCACAGCCAACCGTTGGCAGCATTGTCTATATTCCTTTCTTCTCTCGTTCCTTCTTGCAGTACCTATTTTCAGTCTCGTATCTGTGTCGCTGTTCTTCAAAAGTTTGTGGTCCATTGTGGAGGTTCTGTTCGGTAGGTATCTCTCTATTTCGGCAGGTATGGTTTCAGTGATCCATATTCCACTTATTACGATGTGTGGTGTGTAAATTCAGCAGGAATGCCGTCAGTACCAGCTGACTTATTGTTGGGAACCTCGCTCAATTCTTGTTGTTTTGATTTCTGTGGAATTTCGTTGAAAATGTCGTCATTAATTTGAGATTTTTTGTTAAGTAGTTTCTGAAAGTGTTCCTTCCAACGAGAATTATTAGAAGCTGTTCTTAAGCAGTCTTGTGCCATCCTTGGATTGTAGCGGGTTGTGTCCCTGAGTGGATGGTTCGTATATCATCTTAGTAGCCTGAAAGAAGACCTTGGTGGTGTTGGGAGGGTAATGGGTTCACAAAAGAATTTAGAATCGCTCGAACTTTTAAAAGAAAAAATAAAGGAACGCAATCAACAGGAACTACGTGCAGTCTGCAGTACAGCAAAATTAGAGAAATTGACACGATGAACAAATTCAATTAGAAAATGACAGATGCTATATATTACAAGCAGGACAAAAACAGTAAAACTGAAATAGAAGCAACTGAAGAAGAATTAGTGATGGCTCAACAACACTACAATAGAGAAAATTAAATACGCTTGCAAAAAGAAATCAAGGAAAATGTACGAAATAGAACAGAGCCCCTAGTAGCACGTAGGTACACTCGAAAGAAACAAAAGCTAAAAATTACGAAAAAGGCATTAAGACCAAATATAAATATAATACCTAAACCAAATAAGAATGGAAGACGGGTTTATAACAGACGACAGAAAAGAAATCACTACTATCACAATAATAATCAAAAAACCAGTCACAATGAGCAGAAGAGACATTATAGAATTAGAAGAAATACAAAATAAAGAAGACACCAGACACCCAACATGGAAATTTTCAATTGATTACTGCAAATAGAATACCTGCATAAAAAGTTCCTATTCATAAATTAATAAAAAGATACAAGTTGTAATGAATGAAAAAAAGGGCCTATACTTAATCATCCGTTACCTACATGAAATCATATATTATCGATTACCCGCAAAAGAGACAATATCAATATAATAGTCGACTCCTCCCACCCCTCTCCATTCGCCCATTTGTATTGTGTTGTATCGTTTGCCATCGGGGACCCATTCCGGGGGCCCCAGGTATGTTATTAGATCTTGTCTAATTGAAACTATTCCTGAAATTATTTGAATGTGTGTGTGTTCGTTTTAATTCCCCCGGATCGATATCGGGGAGGCTTTAAATATAATTAATTCCTAGGATACTATAGTCTAGCCCACACTTGACGAGAGAAAGGGAATTACCTGTACTTTACTATGAGTGACGTACCCGTTTAAATTTATAATCTCAAGAGTAGCGTAGGAGGACATGTGCATGTTGTTTTGAGGGTAGAGAATGTGTCAGTTACAGGAATACACAGCAAATATTTATACAGTTATGTATAATGCCTATCTGGAATTTTTTATGACAAATGATTGGGAAGTGGGTTTCTCTCTAAAGGTTAAGTGAATTCATATGGTGAGCGATTTAGTAGAAAAGCAATAATTGGTCACCGACCGGAAGCAACCATGATTCTACCACTTGAAGTCCGCAAATGAGTTTTGTGAAGCGATGAAAATTGAAAATCACACGTTGAATTGTGAACAATCTGACAAGGGTATCCGCAGGAATGACTTCCCAAATACGGAATCACCACCCTCTATAAGGGCTTGAAACAACAGAGTCTTTCAGCCCGCTATTGACTAATCATCCCCCGTATGCCTGCTATCAACCAGAAGTTACGAGAATAGAATTCAACTTTGATGGAATATTCTAGCGAATTACAGAAGGATCGAAGTGGTATAAAATTAGTCAAGCTGAGTTGGTTGATCAGTTATAGTAACATAGTTTTGTGAACAGTATTGTGCTATCCCCCTCTTGGTGCAGCCCTGTCTTACCTAAGGAGCCCACAACTTTAAGAAAGGTGCAGGCCCGCCTAGGTCGGACATGCTTTATTTCATCTAGTTCCAGAAGCCTGTATCCGAGGTATCGTAATCTGCAACGTTAAATTCGCAGACTATATTCTTGGTAGTTTCATCTTCTTCGCTGCAGAACCTGCATTCTGTCTCATTACTGAGTCCGATTTTGTGCAGGTGATATCTAACTACCGGGTTACCCAGCGCCCTTCAGGATGCCTGATGATTCTCAGTTGGCTCCTGTTTAATTTTATGAGGCTCTTTGCCCCTTATCAAATTGAGGGACCTTGTATAAAGATCCTTGACTGTCTGGGGCCTCTTTGATCCAGCCATTCGTCTTGGAACTGATTGTTGGCCCAGTTCCTGATCTTGGTTTTCACAGAACAGGAACCAACCCCGAGCGCCCAATGAAGACAGTGCTGCTATCTTCACGCGCCAGCTGGTCCACGTCCTTGTTGCCTTTTATGGCCTGGGACCCGAACAATGACCATGTTGAACCCACTGAGTAGTTCTAGGGTTCGGAGTGCTGCCTGAATGTTGCTGCATATATAAATATGCTTGTCTGATTTTCCTCTCTGGAGATTCTCCTGAGCACACTATGGCATAGACCTCAGTCTGATATACCGTTGGGTATCGACCCAGTGCAAAACTGATTCTCGCCACAGGTTTCTCCCCATATACACCAGCCCCTGCACCCTCTCCCATTAAGGACCCGTCTGCCTAACAGACGAGTCCCTTCGGCTTTAGGGAATGGGTCAGGCTCCAGCCTTTGCAGGGATGACGACCTTGTATTTTCTAGGGGGTCTGAAGTATTTGGCATTGCATTCCTTCTGGTGAGTAGGGGGTCCTGTCTGATAGTATCAGTCCAGAACTTTGCATGTCTCATGTTCAGTCTTCTATCAACCCATTGTCCTCAATCGTTGAGTCTGACTGAAGCCTCCCGCGACTCCACCAAAAAATGCAGGAGTTTTGCAATATGGGCCACCATTGTATGGGGTGGTTCTAAAGGCTCCAATTCTAACCATGCAGGCAAGTTGTTCCACCAAACTGAGTTGCGGTACGTGCTCAGTGGCTTTATCAATGCTGTGTAAAGCCAGTGGACTATGTGAGGGTGAAAGACCCAGGTGCATCCGATGGATCTTAAACAGGCCCAAAGACTAGCAATGGCCCTCTGGACGACCCTGTTGACGTGATCTTTTCAGGTCAGCCTGAAGTCAATGATGACTCCTAGATGTTTGACCGAATCGGATGCAGCAAGTCTCGATCCAAAGAGCATGAGCCATTCCAGGCCCAAGTTACCCTGTAATACCATCTTTCGACCATGTTGAAAGTCTTGAAGATAGTCTCACATATCTGGGAGACCGAATTGATATAAGTTGAGTAAATAAAGGAAATGAGAACTTTCCTTTGAAATAAAACAAAAAAAAAATATGATTCCTACACAATACAGTGAAGTTTAGTTCATTTCTATTGAAACTTATTTTAAGTCAATAATATCCTTGTCTCAAGATATTGTATACCTATTGTAAAATAATCTTTCTTGGAGTTTTGTATTTATAGATACTTAACGTTCAATTTCATCATACTAAAGTTTCAGCTCCAATAATATTAATGATTATTATTACATTTCGTGTCTGGAAAAGCCTTTTTAACGGAACAATAAGAGCCTTAAGTAATGAATTTCAGAAGTAACAAAAATTTTAATCGTCCTTCATGCAATTCGAAACAACAGAAAGGGTCCGTTTCGTCCGCGTGATTAATCCCAACCAAGGTCCTTATTCGTGTCTGGGATCAATTGAAGCTATGGTGGACAGCGTCTCGCTCCAGGACCGTAATTATTGTATTCTGTCCAGCCGTTCATTGCCTGTGCTCACGCCATATTTAATATTGTATCACTCGTTGTGTCGCCATTAAACGGCCATTTTTAAAAGGGAAAAATTAGGGACACGGAATATCTTTTTCTCATGATTTTCGGTTGTTTCCTGTGGCTCGTGTTATTATTTCACGAGCCACTTTATGGTAGTGTTTTCTTTTATGTTCTGGCCATTTTCGTTTGGGTTTGATATGAAACGTTTTGTATACGATAATGATTTTTTTGTCTTTTTTTATCACAAGCGCACCTTGTCAGGTGATTATAGGGGGGCTACAAAACAAGAAAATGTACAGTAATAAAATTCTTGGAAACTTTATTGTCTATCGCACAATCAAATCTCTAAAATATTGTTATAAACCCGCCACTCGTACTTTTTGATTGCCCCCTGTAACTACAGTTAAAGAAGCCAGAAAATTCGAGTATTTTGAAGATGAACTGAATCACGAAAATTCGAGCGTGTTAGAGAAGGACGCACATAACTATAAAAGCCCTGGTGCGCACCGCGTAAGGACCAGTTCAGATTGACGTACGACAAATGCAGTAAACTGTAAAGTCAGGAACTAAATAACCACGTTCGAAAACAATCGTGCCGTATAAGCTTTATTTGGAGTAGTTCAGAGTGTAAAGTAGTGTTAAATTTCATATAATTTTTATGTTATTGTGTTTAATAAAATTCGTTAAAGTTCGAAGAAGTACTCACTTATCTGCGAACCCGTATAAGTAACAATTGGTGTCAGAAGTAGGATAAGTGAGTGAAGAAATTTGCATTTATGGTAAATACGAGAAAACAGACTGCCGAAATAGAAGATCAGCTAAATCAGGTGCTCGCTTGGTTGACACTTGCGGACGAGAGGAGAGCAAAAGAAAAACAAGAAGAACAGGACCGACTACAGAAAATCCTTGAAGAACAAGAGGACAAGCGATAATTAGAACAGGATCGACTACAAAAAATCCTTCAAGAACAAGAAAACAGGCGACTTAAAGAAAAACAGGAAGAAGAGGACAAGCGACAGCAAGAGCAAGACCGGCTCCAGAAAATTCTGCAAGAACAGGAAGACAGACGACAGAGGGATATTGACAGGATCGCTGAGTTGTTTTAGAACATCCAACAAGAAGTCAAAGGCGAAATAGAAACGATTCGAGGAGAAGTCAAAGGCGAAATGGGGACGATCCGAGAGGAATTCGAGAAAAAATATAGAGAAGAAAATGGAGAAAATTCGCGTAGAACCCAATATCAACGAAAGTTCCAGCAAAATGGATGTATCGGTAAGCCCAATCGTACGCGGCCAACTCAAACCACCAACTTTTGACGACGAAACATCATGGTCCATTTATAAACGACAGTTTGAAGCCGCTGCTAGTGCAAATGGATGGAATGACCAGCAAAAAGCAACATCATTGGTACTTGCACTACGAGGAAAGGCGTTTGAAATTCTTCAAAATATTCACGAGGCAAAACAAAGTGATTATGTAGCTGTTGTAGGAGCCTTAGAGCTGAGGTACGGAAACAGGTATCTCAGTCAAGTCTACCAGAGTCAATTCAAAAGCAGAGTCCAAGGTCCAGCTGAGACACTGCAGGAATTTAGTAGCGACATCGATAGAATGGTGAGATTGGCGTAGCTACAAGCACCTGAAGAGTTCATTGAATAGATAAATGTCCAGTACTTTACCGATGAAGTAAAAGATACCGACCTGCAACCAGCACTGAGAATGAGTAGGCATAACACCTTAGATGACACCGTTGTCCATGCATTGGAATATGACGCTGCCAAAAATGCCTCTTTAAATCGAAGAAGCAAGATCAGGAAAGTGAAGATAGCAAAGGATCGCCCAAACTCAGACGCAGATATGTTCCTTAAACTGGAGGCGCTGTTTCAGGAATTCTGCGCGAAGTTTTAGACCAAGAACCAAGAGTCAGAAAACAGATCAAATGCTACAACTGCGGCCGAGAAGGACATATTAGCAGAAACTGTAGGCGACGTTCCCGCTCAGGAGATCGTGAAGCGGAGGAAGAAGGTGGTTCCAGATATCATCAGGGAAACGCCACCTCGCCAGTGTAAGGGGGCGAATGCCCCCAAAGTAAGGGTGTTCTCCATCAAGAAGAATTGTTAAAGTCTCGTTGCCCAAGGCACCCTCCACGGCAAGAAATGTGATTTCACCATCGACACAGGGGCATCAAGATCAGTGGTTCGCCCCGACAGGGTTTCTAAGGGCTCTGTAATGATGTTGAGAAATAAACCACTGCTAGAAACAGCTAAGGGAGATTTGATAGATGTTTTTGGAGAGACCACCGTGACATTGGGAATAGGCAGGACTGAACTTAAGGTAGTGATAGTTGCTGACATAGTGGATGATTTTATATTTGGAGTGGCTGTCCTAAAAAACTTTGATTTCCTATCAGTGGACTTTAAAAATAAAACGTCGAGAGTGGGCAATGAAGAAATACTGTTCTCATCACCGTCAAATAAGGACTGTCAAATTAGAATAATCGTTGAGCAAGATACACGAATTCCTGGAAACAGTGAGTCGAATGTGCGGGCACACCTAGAAAAACAGCTAGAAGGCATGAACACCATGATGGTGGAACCAACAGGAAACATGCAGAATGGAACACTTATGGCATATTGCTTAGTGAATTCCAACAATGTTTTGTGCGAGTGTCCAATCTAACAACAAACCGTGTGACATTGAAGAAAGGAGACGTCATTGGCAGATGTACACTAGCTATACGAGTAGTCAGATGCGCAAAGAAGGAGCCTGTGTCAAATGAAATACATTTATCAATAGAGCATATGGAGAAGTTTGAAAAGAGCTGGAATCATTTAGGCCAGTAAGAAAAGAAGAAAGCTATTGACTTTGTGCAGAAAGAGGCTGATGTTTTTGTGCAAGATAAAATTACTGGACGAACTAATTTGGTAGATCATCGCATCAACACAGGAAGTGCTACACCCATTCGCCAACCACCACGAAGACTCCCTTTCGCAAAGCAACAGCAAGCTAACACCATGCTTAAGGAAATGCTGAAGGACAACATCATAGAAGAATCTAATAGTCCATGGTCATCGCCGGACGTACCTACTAGCTACGAAAAAGGATGGTTCTACCAGGTTTTGTGTGGATTATAGAAGGTTGAATGACGTTACGAAGAAAGACAGCTATCCATTACCCCGGATTGATGATACCCTTAACACCCTATCAGGATCCAAGTGGTTTTCAACCCTGGACTTGAAAAGTGGATATTGACAGGTGGAACTCAATAAAGAGGATAAAGAGAAGACCGCATTTACTGCAGGAAACGGCCTATATCAATTTAGCGTCATGCCGTTGGGATTATGCAATGCACCTGCCACTTTTGAAAGACTGATGAAGTTAGTTTTGCGACGACTGACTTGGAAAACGCGCATGGCATATCTGGATGATGTCATGGTGATTGGCAAAGATTTCGACGAACACCTGTCGAAGGTGAAGGAAGTTTTTGCCAGGATTCGAAGTCCCAATCTGCAACTAAATCCCAAGAAGTGTGTCCTATTCCAGGAAAAAGTGAACTTCCTCGGCCATGTCCTCACATCAAAAGAAATAGACAGATCCAGATAAAGTCCAAGCTGTGCGAGACTGGCCCAGACCAAAGAATAAACATGAAGTTAGAAGCTTCCTGGGACTCTGCAGTTACTACCGCCGGTTTGTCAAGGATTTTGGGAAGATTGCGAAGCCTTTACATGAACTAACTGAAAAGAACGCTCGTTGTGATTGGATACCTAAATGTCAACGGTATTTCGTGGAGCTGAAAAATAAATTGACTAGTAATCCAGTTCTGGCGTATCCCAGGGATGAAGGTCTATTTATGTTAGACACCGACACTTCGCAAAGTGGAATAGGGGCTGTTCTTTCCCAAATTTAGAACGGAGAAGAAGTAGTGATTGGATACTTCAGTAAGTTCATTGGAAAGGCAGAGAAGAATTATTGTGTCACCCGAAAGCAGCTTCTTGCAGTAGTAAGATCTATTGAACATTACCACAGTTTTATCTATGGCCGGAAGTTCCTAGTTAAAACCGACCATTTTGCATTGCAATGGCTGCTCAATTTTAAAAATCCGGAGGGTCAAAAAGCGCGTTGGTTAGAGAAATTATAAAGTCATGACTTCCAAATCAAACATCGCAAAGGAAGGAGTCATGCCAACGCCGACAGCCTATCACGAAGTCCATGTATTGACAGCTCATGCAAATTCTGCCAAAGGCAAGAGGAAAAGGAGGCAACCAAAAATTCTGGAGTCGTTCAACAAATAAGGCTTAAGAATTCCGACAACGACGCTAACACTGATGAGGACGTTACGAGAGAAGACTTCGAAGAACAACAAAATATGGATAAGGAATTGAAAATGGTGCGTGGCTGGCTACAAGACGGACAACGACCTGGATGGCAAGAAATTTCCAGTTTGAGTCAAACGGTGAAAGGATACTGGTTGCAATGGGACTCGTGCCTGCGAGATGACTTGATCACTCGTAAATGGGAGAGTCCAGATGGAAAAAACCTAGTATATCAGACCGTTGTACCACGGATCATGGTGGACAGAGTGCTTCAAGAACTGCACAGTAGTAGGAGTGGCGGACACTTTGGAGTCAATAGGACCTTGGCTCGAATAAGAGATAGGTACTATTGGATCAACTGTCGTAGGGATGTCGAAGAGTGGTGCAAGAGATGCGATCTCTGTGCTTCTAAGAAAGGACCCAAGACGCGATCCTGTGGAGAAATGAAGCAGTACTTGTCCGGTTCCCCTTGGGAGAGAATTGCCGTGGATATTGCAGGTCCTTTTCCTACGACGGAGTCAGGGAATAAGTACCTCATGGTTGCTATGGACTATTTTTCAAAGTGGCCATTAGTAGTTTCCATACCCAATCAGGAAGCAGTTACTGTTGCGGAATCATTGTTGGAAAACGTCATATCCAGACATGGGGTACCGATGGAACTTCAAACCAATCAGGGAAGGAATTTTGAGTCCGAGGACGACTGCACTTCACCCACAGTCGGACGGAATGGTCGAGAGGCACAACCGGACCATCAATCAATATCTCTCGATGTTTGTAGATGATCACCAGTTAGACTGGGATAAACTAGTGCCTCTTTTCCTTCTGGCTTATAGAACCTCAACCTCTCAGCATGAGTCCAACGGCTATACACAATCTTATGCTGTTGACTGGAAGAGAAATGAGGCTTCCAGTAGTTTTAATGTTTGGCAGGCCTCCAGTCGATGAAGACGAGGCTGTACTTCCAGTTTACGTGGCTGGTCTCCAGGACAGACTAAGAGTGGTACACAATTTCGCCAGAAATAAGCTACGTCTGACCAGTGACAGAATGAAGATGAGACTCGACCAACAGCAGTCACTGAACACCTTCAATGAAGGCGATGCTGTCTGGTTGTATCAGCCACAGCGAAGAAAGGGACTTAGTCCGAAGCTGCAACGACCATGGGAAGGAACATACAAGTTCATTAAGAAAATCAACGACTTGGTATACAGGGTACAACTTACACCTAAAACCAAGCCCAAAGTCGTTCACATGGAGAGGCTGGCTCCATACAAGGGCAAGAGCGCACCGACTTGGATGCGATTGGGATAAGCTGTTCGGGGCGAATAGCTTTGAGGAAGGGGGCAGTGTTATGAACCCGCCACTCGTACTTTTTGATTGCCCCCTGTAACTACAGTTAAAGAAGCCAGAAAATTCGACTATTTTCGAGATGAACTGAATCACGAAAATTCGAGCGTGTTAGAGAAGGACGCACATAACTATAAAAGCCCCGGTGCGCACCGCGTAAGGATCAGTTCTGATTAACGTACGACAAGTGCAGTAAACTGTAAAGTCAGGAACTAAATAACCATGTTCGAGAATAATCGTGCCGTATAAGCTTTATTTGGAGTAGTTCAGAGTGTAAAGTAGTGTTAAATTTCGTGTGATTTTTATGTTATTGTGTTTAATAAAATTCGTTCAAGTTCAAAAAAGTAGTCTCACTTATCTGTGAACCTGTATAAGTAACAATATGATGGCTACCACTACCCAGTATTTCATGTAAATCTCAAATAGATTAATCAATTATCTCAACGTTTATAAAGATGTCCATTGGAATGGAAATGTCATTTTTGTTAATAATTTTGATGAATCCCTTTTTACACTTCGTTTAAATAACGCCAAATATACAGGGTTGTCGTTATTTATGGAAACGGCCTGATACATCAGAACGCGCTTAAGAAAAAATTAACTTTCCTACCCTGGGAATTTTTAGGAATGCCCAATAGAATGGTGATATTTGCCATTTCCATACACAACGACAACCCTGTTTATTAGCTGTGATATTAGGTCTGCTCAAATAATTAAGTCTAGAGACGAAACATATCTCGTCTGCGTTTGTTACCAATAATAATTATTCGAGTGTAAACGCAATCAATTCATATTTTCTGTTTGGGGTCTTGAAGGATCAATGATAACGATAAAATTCACATTTTGATATAAATATAATATTCAAATTTCATTAAGTACCTAGATACATAGTGTAGCGTAATATAAAATTTAATAAAATGAGGCTTCTCGTGAGTACAACTGTAACTAAAATTTACATTTTAAATAAGAAAATGTTTCTGAAATTTTAGCAAGAGTTAAAACCAGTTCACATCATCGACCCCTCAGAACTTTTGAGACCAGAACCTAAGTTTGCGACTAAAGACATCAATGCTTTCAGAGATTATACCATCAACGATGAAGATCCTATCCAGGAAAGAGTCAGGAAAACTTATTTGGAAATGCATACCAATCAGACTGTTGATTTTGTAAAAGGTAAAAGGACTTAATTTTAGAGCTTAGAGTTTCTAAGGTAATTTTATTTCTTATCTTATACTTTGAGAAAGTCTTTTTTTTTTCTCTGCCGCAAAGAGGTAGACAAAATACCTGCTCTATCTTCTCCAGTTGAATCCGTTACTCTACTATTCTGAGTGCTTGTCACTCTGCTCGGAAGCCAAATTGCCGAGAGGCACGTAAGGAATCAGCTCGTACTCTTCAGTTTCTTCTTGTAACTTGTACCTACTTAATTACTATCTCTGGTACCTTGCTCAGAAGGGAACATTGATGTAGGGCGATAGTTCTGAGCATTTCGTCATCCATTGCTTTCGTAAGTAGGATTATTCACGCGTGTTCAGAATAAAGTTGGTGATGTCGTATCGACTGATCAATCTCGTCTTAGTGATTATCATATTCGCCTGATTGTTGATCAAGACGACCTTTCTGATATTGATTATCTGCAAAAGCTTCAGCTTTGTACCTATCTTAGTGAGTCCCTGCAATGGTGGAATAGTGGTCATGGTCAATGGAGCTACGCTCTTGAATCTTCTGATCTCATCGGTAGTTTCTGACTTCTTTAAGGGCTATCGCTTTTCCTCCTGGTCTTTTTTCCGGTGACCATGGCTCTTATATAGTCTCCAGGAAGTTCTGCGCTTGAACTTCTTGGCATTGGCATGATTACTGTGAATTCTTGAAGCACTTGTAGTAGGTAAAACTGCAAGGTTTCAATAGCTAGTTCTTACTTTACTGATTTTAATTTAATAAAGAAAAAAATTGCAAATTATTTTTTGTTTATGCAATATTATCTTCATTCATATCATATCCATTTGCATTCCTAAAGCTTGAATAATAGCGCTAGAGTTGCTCCATAATATGAAAACAGAATTGAAAAGAAGTTATATTAAATTGATATTTTCGGAATTCAGTTCTGGTTGCTCTTGGAAGGACTCCCACCTGCAATGTTTTGATGATTTCCAGGCTTATTTATACTTAGATTTCCTGGAAATGCGAGGAGAAAATAAAATTAACTGTTTTTGTTTAGACGTATTTTCGAAATAGGTTCTGGATTCATGGGAATTAGACCACAAAACATCGCAATTATTTAGAGTTTATTGTTCAAAAATTAATATAGAATGTTTCATCTACTACCTACGTCAACATATTTTGATACGACTTCGGTTGATTGCAAAATTTAATTTAAACAAAATCAAAAATAAAAATATTCAGCAGAAATTATCGCATGTTTTGGGTCGAAGGTCAAGTTTTAATCCTAAATTACTTGACTACAAATTACACTATCTAATCAATTTATTTTGAAATAATTCACGAGTTATAAAACTCTTTCTGGTAAGAGCAAATGAAAGTAGGTATTTTTCAGGTATCTCTAAATTAAACAGCATTCATAATTCGTTGAAAATCCAGTTATTAAGGAAAGTATATTCGAGAAACTGATTTGCTACAATTGCAGTTTATACCCGAAGAAGATGCCAATAAGATGCCTCGGCAAATCCCGTATATAATTCCTTCTACATATACCTAATATTTCTTTTGTGAATTTTAGTGTAAAATCTTTCTGTGCGAAAAGCTATATTTTCAGAGGTTGCCTAGCTTATGAAAACTCCATTTTCAGAGGCAGTTGTAGGAAAAGATACTTTTTTATTCTGTTTTATATTGCAAATTTTACACTTGTTAGTGATGCCGCCGAGACAAGAGATCGATTTTTTCTCGAAAAGTCACTTTGAGACGAGACGAGTTTGAGTTAGAGAACAAGAATAGGTACTTGATTTTGCAGACGAAATTTACCTATTATGCGTCAAAACTCACAGAGACGAGAGAAGAGCTCTTCGTCTCGGGTCGAGGGTCTCTCGTCGAGACGAGAAACTCATTTTCTCTCAAACCTTCGAGATAAGACGTGAGAGAGAGTGTATTCTCGTCTCGTCTCGTCTCGGGGGCATCACTAATAATTATCCAATACATGTTAACCATTGAGAGGTCATACTGTATAATCCACTATCTCTTGGCGACGATATTCCATACTTATTTTTCTGTTTCAGCAAAACGTGACAAATGGTTCAAATACGACACTTTCAAAGCGACAATGAAGGACGCCCTAATCAAACTAAACGACTTGGTCGATGAAAGTGATCCAGACGTGGACATACCCAACATTGTCCACGCTTTCCAGACAGCTGAACGAATCAGGAAAGACTACCCTAATGATGATTGGTTCCATCTCACCGGCTTAATTCATGACGCTGGAAAAGTATGAGTCAATTATTATACCTAGTGTTAGTTTCATTATAATAATTTCGATGACTCTTTTCAGGTTATGGCTTTCTATGATGAGCCTCAATGGTGTGTGGTAGGAGATACGTTTTTAGTAGGAGCTGAATGGGCTCCTAGCATCGTGTACAGAGAAAATTCTTTCAACGATAATCCAGATGGTAAAAACCCAAAATACAAGTAAGTGTTTGGTTGAACCATTTACTTTAGCTGACTGCAAACAATAAAATAGATTCGCCAAAGCATTAAATATTAAATATGGACCGTATACGTAGGAGAGAGAAGACGGAATGAAAGTTCCTTCGAGATTTACGATAGAAATTTCGGGCTCATTAAACTTTAACGTCTATCAAGGAAAGTTAAAAAGTTTTTCCGTGTTGTTTAAAGTGGAAAACAAGTTGAGGATCCAGCCTTGGATAACATGATTAGTCCGGAAGAAGTGTCGACCTACTTAATTTTACATAAGTTAATAAAATTTTTATCTCCTGCCGAAGTTGGATGAAGGAAGTAGAACGTGGGCAGGTCAGGGATTAATAAAATACAATCAGTGATTAAAAACTTTACGATTTACTCGCCCTCGCGAAAAATATAAGTATGTCATTTGCCAGAACTAATTTTATTATGAGCCGCGACGAACTTATACAACACCGATTGGAAACTTTGTCATTTCGTCGTTAAACATGAAAGTTTTACGGTTAACGCAGGAGGGAGATTGGTTGGGGAAGAAATTTCTAATTGACATTTTACTAGGATATTCTGACGTGAAGATGAGGACTAAAATATTGGGGGTGTTTTGTCACTTTTCCTCAAAATAACTACTAATAATTCATCTCAAATTTTCACCTAAAGGATCATATATACATCAGGGGCCCATTAGATGTTAAAAACGTTGCGTGTATAGATACTTCTGTTGTTGTCTGACAAAAAATTATAATTGCTCTTCATTACCTGTAAAATGCGCACTTCAACTTTACTTATCTTGTTCCGAATATAGAAACAAGAATCTTCTTGCCAGCACCAGGCCTAATTTCGTTATAAACCTCCAGCGAACTCCTACAAAGTTTGTCGTTGAACACGAAAGTTGCGGATAGGTTGAGGAGCTGAGATAAGAGTGTCGCGCCGTCATAATTAATCTCTCCTGGATGTGTCAAACAAATTTTCGCGTGGGCCTTTTATTCGTAGAGTCGTGCCGCAAGGGAACGCGCGGGAAATATTACACCGAAATCTCTTATTCGTGATTTACTATTCATGAGATTCTGTCTTTTAACATTTCTGCTTAGCGAAGTCAACGGATTAAATACGTCGACGATATTCTATACGAAATAAGCCAGATTTGGGCTCCCTCGTAAAATAAATGCCGAGCTGAATAGCAGAAGGGGATGGGGGGATGATTACTACTGACGAGAAGACACATTATTATGTAGTCTCAGTTCAAAATAAATTAAGGGAACATGGAGAAATTTAGACTGGGGTTTACAGTGTTTCGGTATTCTTCTAATTTTTGTCTTCTATTTACATGGCACTTTGTCTACAAATTTTTCTTTCTAAAGTAGCTGCAATTCAGATTTGATTACAGGGTGGGCCAATGGAAACTTTCCACTTTCCGATTATTTCAATTTGAAATGATATCTGGGAAAATGCTCGGACACGTCGATTTTTGATTTGAGGAGAAACTATTTTTCAGTTTTTTTCATCATTGTAGCTTCAACCTCCTAGCTGGAGGTTGAGGGGGTAGTCAGAAACAGGAAAATACCAGTGGAGTACACTCGATCGATGGAGAACCATACGAAAATATACAAAACTATAGCTGCTTTCGGAAATGTAAATCCTGGATCGAGTAGGTTAATATCAGCTGATGGCGGTTTAGCTCGTTTTCAGAGTAGATTATAAAATGTTTCCGAGCAATTGGGATTGAAGATCGCCGGCACCAGTGTTTGTTTTTCTCAATAAACTGTTTTTCTTCAACGATTTGAGGTTAGGTCTTCACCTTTGACTTTTCAAAGACACTGCAAACCACCCCAAATACAACAAATCACAAGAATTCATTGAATTCAAACACAAAACTTGACATACGGAAACAAAATATATAAAATAAAAATAACACATAACCAAAAAAATCAAAAAGCTGATAGATTAATTTTCTAGTCATGTGAAGGGCAGGGTTAACGAGATCACAAACATATGAGAAAATCGAGTCAACAAGATCACTTACCGAACGCGACTACTCGACTGTGGATCATTTTATGAACGATGAGATTACTAATCCGATCGAACCGATTAATCGGATCACACTTCCCGAAAGCGGCTTGTATGATTATTCAAAAACTGTGCATAGGAAACTGTATGATTATTCAAAAACTGTACAGGGTCTTTCCTCATATATTGTTGACCCCCTCACTACAGGGGTTATCCGAAGAGATATCAAAAAATTGCAAAAACAAAAGTTTTGGGGTTTCACCTGAAATGTTTGAATTCGAAGTCGAAAACTTTTTTGCTTTTTTGGAAATGTCAAATTCTGACAGATGGTCAGTTTTTTCCTATGGAATACCCTATTGAAGTTTGGACCCCAATATTTCCAAAACGGCTTAATTATAAGTAGTTAAACTACATATATTTCAAATCAGAAAATTCGACTCTTTCCAACTATGAAGTCATAATATATAGGGTTTTCCATAAGAAAAAACTGAACATCTGTCAAAATTTGACATTTCTAAGAAAACAAAAAAGTTAAACCCCAAAACTTTTGTGTTTGCAATTTTTTGATATCTCTTCGCATACCCGTGTAGTGGGGGGGGGGGGGTGAATATTGTTGAATATTTAACATTTAAAAACGAAAGGGGATAAAGTGTCAGTTTACATTACCTTATACTAAGCCTACCATATTATTCTGATAAAAAAACGGGACATTTTTATGAAACCGATGTTTCATGTAATTTTTTTTTTCGGGACCACACCCAATTTTATTGTTCTTTATTAAATAGCTATCTACTTCGGCGATTTCATCTCAAAAAACGTAAGAATCAAGGAAAAATCCATAGGCCAAACCCGAGGATAATACACACTACCAAAGTCCGTCGATTATAATCTGATACTCGGAATGAATGTGAGCTGGTGGCATCCTACATTAGAATGCCAATGGTCACCTGACGTCACACCTGTTTTTGCTATCATATACTTCACCCCCTTGCTCCGCATACGGAAAGTGTCACATAAAAATCGACGAACAATACCAAAGGGCAAAGGCTCGCCTATCCTCATAAGGCATGTGTGGAACAAATCTGAAGCCCCCCACCACGCCAAAGTACCAGTGATGACGTTGACAGCGTGTCGCTTCTCACCTTAACGTAGGCGGGTGTTTGATGTTTGCACCACAGGTTATGATTCCGCGGGCTTTTGTTTCAGCAGACTGAAAATTGACAGCATTGATGATGGGTATCAAGAACAAGTGTATTATCGATCTCAATGGTAGTATCCAATGCTCGATCCAATGATTATCCATTGTATTGTCCTTGGGCCGAACCTGCCAAATTTTAAATTGTCAAATGTCAAATGCTTTTGAATAACCCATCGCATGTTGCGATTTGCTGAGATTAGAGATGAGGCGAAAAAATCGAATTATTTTACCCTTTTCAAAATATCAGGGACATTTACGCGTCCCAACAACAAATTTGGGGACGCGGGACATGGACCTTGAAATAAAGGACTGTCCCGTATATTATGGGACGTATGGCAGGCTTACCTTATACTTCCCAGCAAAACGGTGTAAGTGAACGAGCCAACAGAACATTACTTGATAAAGTTAGATCAATATTTGCAGAAACAAATCTCCCTAAACATTTATGGAGAGAAGCCATAAGAACTGCTGCTTATCAACTGAACAGATCTCCAACCGCTGCTTCAAATTACAAGATTCCTGTTAGTATACACTAGGGAAAAACAGACCTTAGCAAATTAAGGATTTTTGGCAGTGAAGCATGCGCATTAAAACTACCAAATTCTGGAAACAAACTTGAAACGAGAGCAGAATCATGTCGTATGGTTGGATATACTACAAATGGATATCGTTTATGGAATCCAAGGACAAATGGAATTATTGTATCTCGTGATGTTAGATTTGATGAGACTGACATAGTGCATAGACTAATTCAAGATGAAAAAGAAGAAGAAAATTACGAAAATACTGAAGATAATGACAATGAAAAAATTAATGACGATGAAACAACAAACAATAAAAGAATGAGAAAATTGCCTGCAAGACTTAATGATTATGAATTATATCACGCCAACGTCATTGATCACGCCTATAGTTTATTGACAGAAGACGAGACTATAAAGATTATAACCAAGCAATAAATACCGGACAAGAATGGAAGGATGCAATAAATAAAGAGTTAGAGGTTCACAAAAAATATAATACATATGAGAACCAGTAATTTTGCCGGAAGGCAAAATGCTCATTGACACACGTTGGATATTCAGAACTAAACAGAATGGATTAGAAAAGGCACGTTAGGTAGCCAAACGACATCAAGAAGAATATCACTACTGTTTACGCTTCAGTAGCCAGATATCAAACGATAAGAATGTTTATATCACATGCAATGAACAATACTTGGGAAATTAGGCAACTTGATATTCCTACAGCCTTTTTAAATGGTAATTTAAATATAGATGTTTACATAAAAATCCCAGATGGTGTGAAAGTCGACAAGAAATATGACTCATTAAAGTTGAAAAAGGCACTATATGGATTAAGGGAAGCTCCAAGATTGGGGAACGAAAGATTTCACGAATTTGCAGAAAAGTATCAGCTAAAAAGATCAGGAAATGACTTTTGCCTTTATATTGGAGATCTATGGCTATTACTCTGGGTCAATGACATTATTTTGACAGAACCAAATCATTTGAAAATTTTAAAGGCATTAGAGGTAGAATTCAATGCTAAAGATTTAGGAAAACTTAATAATATTCTTGGTATGGAAATAATGATCGGTCCAGCCGTTCTTGAATTCAAAAAATAATAAAGTTACGTCGGTTGAATGCAAGCCTGAATAAATGAAATATGGCAACGTTGTTTCATGCTGTCAAAAAAGTTGGGTTATGTTGTTATGTAATGTGAATGAGTTTGTTTACAATTAAATTAATAATTAATTCAAAATTAATTTATTTTTCCGAGATGC